AACATTACGGAAATGATGGTTTTGAGTAGCCTATGAGGTGTGTAGTTTCGGAGAATATGTGATTCGATGAATAATTCTTACTTTTCACGCTGACGTTAGCCATAAGAGAATTTTACAGTTTTAAATAAAGATTTTAAAAATTCCAATCAGATTTTTTTTCCCGTCTTCATTCGAATTTCCAGATTTTAGTAGCTTTTTAATTAAACTAAAAAAGGTTGGTCACGGAAAGTGATGAAGAAATTCCAATCCGAATCACATTAGATGAAAGCGTAATTAAAATGGAAGAACGAAGATTTATCCTCAAATTCATTTATTTTATTTACTTAAAAATATTCACAAATTTGACAGACTTGAAATTGGTCTTATACAAAGTTTTGCAATAAGCTAAGCTGTACATATTTCCGGGTAACGATTAAGTTAGATAATCTCATAACCACTGTCTTAAAATTCGTCAGGGTGTAAAGTAGGTGTTCGTGGTGGAACTAAGTGTTTGAGCAAGTGGATTCGTGTAGTAAGTCAGTCTCTGGTGAAAATGTCTATAGTATTGTGTTGATGTGGGCGGGATGGCCGAATGGGCTAACGCGTTGTGCACAGCACCACCGTTGCACGGCAACTTGATATATCAAATGATACAAAAATAATGGTCATGAAAAAAAAATGTGTTGCGAAATTCGAAACCAAATTTATAACAATGAATTATGGATTGATTAAAGGAATGCTTAAATTTACTTATTATATGGCCATAGATGGAGAATCTTTTTATCATTTGAGGACCCGGTTAGACAGTGCTAATGCAGAGCTCCATACTTTTTTATATATAACTGTTGCTATTTTTATTTATCACTAAATACATCCGTATTTACATATTCAACTTAACTCTATTAATTTGCTAATTTGCCTTACCTGAATAATTAAATATAAATTAATCCAAGTGATAGATTAATAAATATCACCCAAAAACAATTGCTAGCTCTCGGAGCTAAAGAGTATATGGTTCCCTATGGTATATGGTATATGGCTCTCGAGCCCGCTCTAATTTTATAGTGCTATAAATTGATTAAAAATACCTACGGCTGAGATTGGCGTATGATTTCTTTTTAATCGATTTTCGGATTCTTCGTATCTCTAGGAACGTAAAACCTCAAATCTTTTTCTTGGTCGATTACGGGGCTCATTATCGAAAATTATAAATCAAATATCGTATTTGATCAAATCATCGTCCGTCCGACGCATACAATCTCCTACAATTCAAATCATCAATCCACACCCTCTCCCCAAGATCATGTCCTTCTGACCTTTACACAAATCTGCCTCATTTAAACATTCCTTTGTTATCCGTTCCACTGCATTCTGGAATTCCATACCATTAAAAATCCGCCATGCACCATCCTTATCCACATTTAAAACTCTCTTATTCCAATTCCTCTTCACAATTCAATCAGATGCTGGCTAAGTATATATTATGCAACAAGGTTTTAATTTTCTTCATACATTATTTTTTTTTTCTTCTGTTTTGAGTATGAAACCGAATTTCGATAACCTCTCACAAAGCAGTGTGAGTAGATATATTTTTTTTATTGTTTTTTTTTTGCCTTTTATCTTTTCTATTCATAACAATGTATTTTTTTGAAGTGTATTTTATTTTATTTATAAGCATTTTATTTTTTACTTATCTTCTGCACTCTCCTCTCTATGTGAGGATGTATGTGTTTATGTGTTTGTTTTTTCTTTTTCTGCTCGGAATCTATTGCGTCATAGGTAGATCACAATACTTGTCTACTTTTTCACAATACCTTCACATGTTTTCTTAATGAACATATATAAATCATTTATTTACTCTACTTATTTTCTTTTATTCTTATTTTTCTTTTCTTTTCTTTTTTTATTATATTGTAGCACTAAAATTGGTTACCTATAAAACTTATTTAGCATTTCTTTCCAATTTTATTTAGTTATAAGTATGTTGTTGTTTTTTGTACCAATATTATAGTATTGTAACCGTTGTATCCATCCGCTTTCCTTAATATACCCTCCAAAACTGTGTATATACTCATTTTATTACTTAGATTGTAGTTACTCTTTATTATAATTGGTCATCTGGCCAGATTTATTGTCAATTGATTTAAACAATATTGTTATTCTCAAGGGATCTAGTCCCAGAATAAAGATGTTTTTCTATTTCTATTTCTATTTTCTATTTTTTTCATGATTATGTTCAGCCTATTATTTTTCCCTTATGATTATTCAAAGTGTATTCATCCCGAATGACCTCGGAAAATGTAGGTTCCTACGAAAGTGTTAAGAATCCACCCGCTGGTTTCAGTTCATGGCGCATAGTTGCATGAGAGAAGCGGAATGATCGGCCTAGACTAGGCTATTGATTATGTAAAATGGCAACTGAGCTAAATTGCGATCTATGAGAAGGGAACGGAGCCAGCGATTACTGTGCAAACACTAAGAGCCCTAAGTGCAGAGAAGGCTAAACTGCGGCGGTGGCCAAGGCCCTCCCTAATGACGGTATTTAATCCTCCCCATTATCCCACACACTAGCCAGGAGGATAATTACCCAATCCTCCCCGACCCATCCTCCCTGGCTATAATTAAAGCTTCCTCCCTGCGTGTAAAACTCCGGCTACTATTGTTGCCGCCACAATGGCTCCTCTCTTTCAGCTCTAATTATCTACTGGTTTCTTCTTAAGATCTGGTTACCTTTCATCAATCATTACCCGAGGGTACGGTCCTTCTTTTATACTTCCTTGCACGATATCCTACTGGAAGTTAATTTTAGGAGAAAGAAGGTTTTAAGAGGGAAAAAAGATCTACATTTACCGACCTGAAGCTCCACCATTTTTTATCTTTTTTTTTTATACTTGTATACTACTCTCTCACAGATGCTATTAGGCCATTAGGTTAAAAGCTATAGTCTTAGAAACGTCTACTCATAAAGGCCGATATTTTATAGATTTTTAACCTCTATCTTTTGGCCTCTTCCTCATTTTTTCATTCAGAAATTTAAAACTTGATGATGCAAAATAAATTATAATTGTTTATAATATATTTGCCCCTTAGTCGAATAATTCATCGATTATTACACCTAGGTCAAGTTCTTTTGTCATGGTTTTTACCATTTTGTCTAAGCTTACAAGTATGTAAGTATACATATATTCTTTACTACAAGCAAGTATACAATGACCCTCTGGACTATTAACATTATTTGTACCTTTAGATGGAAATAATCATAATCAACGATTACGATTACAATAAATATGATGGCCTTGCTTTAGATTACGTGATTACACAATTACAATCGTAATCAGGTTTCCGATTACGATTTTCATCGGAAATCGTGTCACATTTTTACTACATTAATAGTGCTATTGAATCAAGTATAAAATTATTGTGGTAATTAAGTTAAATTATCAGTTGTAATCATTGATTCCGATTTCGCCCATCTCTATTTGTACCCCATTAATTTGTGATAAAATCTTTATGAACCAATATTTTTCCTTACAAAAATAGTCAACATTACATAAAACCTATTATTAAGTGACGATTAAAAAATGTAGTCAATAAATTATTTAATCAGCATCAGTTACCTGATTCTGCACATTTCAAAAAACTGAGAGCGAGGGATTAATACATTGATGGTTTCCCGATGCCCAACCTCAGAACTAAGTTTAAAAACTTGTCCACTATTACGTCGATGAGTTTAGGGACGGCCTGATGGATTTCCGATCCTTATCAATAATCTCAGGGCTTACTTCAATACCTTGCCCAATACTTTCCCACCACCACATGGCAGAAATGCTGAGATAGGGGTAATCAGGAAAAATAAATAAAACAATAAAATCTACGGAACGAATGTATGTTTTTGAAACATACGCTTGTCAAGGATATTCTATTTGTGAATGCCTGAGCAAATGTAGTGGACGAAAATTGGAACTCGGCTATTATAAAGTTAAATTGGACCAGTTGTTCTTGAAATATGTATAGGCATGTAAATTACAAAACGTTTGTACTTACGTTAATTGATTTGATAACATTGATACTGAGCCGTTTTTAAACTAGTCCCCCTCAACTTACATCTAACATTCGACAAAATCTGAAGAGCAGTTTTCAAAAGATAAATGTGTTTAAAAACCTCCTCAATTTCTATAGCTTTCATAAAAAACGGATTAGTAGTGGTGTATCACATAGGTCTGAACATATTGGCAATCATGGAGCCAAATATTTTGTTCATTGTTGTAAAAAATGTAAAATGCCAGTCCAGATGATATTACATTATATTTTGGATCCTGAAGACATAACTTAAAGTGTCCTGAAGACATTCACAAAGAGTCACTATTACATGTTCAGAAATAAAAGAAGCTAACTGACTTCTATCCTTCTTTGATTAAATAAAACCAGTAGCTGATCCAGGATTTAATTTTGGGAGAGAGAGAGACTTTTTTGTTGTTGTTTTTTTCTTTCAATAACGGTAATTGATCACGAAAAAAATTGAAAGAAACTATAAAAAATAATCTTTGAGTGATCCTTGTCAGAAAAGAAAAAAAGTTTGTATTTGAAGCAACTATAATGATTTTAAGGATAACATTTTTTATGTGCTTTGCCTGACATGAGTTTACATTTAGTAGCTGAAATACATGTATTATAATTTAAAAAGGGTGTGTATATATTTTTTTTAGTAATTAGCTCAATACTCACAAAAACAAATATGAACAAATGCAAAAGATGATTTTTTTTTTTTCATTTTAGGGAGTTTCTACCCTCTTCCTGTCCCCTCCCCCATGTGAATAAAATTGAAAAAGTTCTATAAATCTGATTACTGTTTTTATCTTTGCCTAGCAAGCATTGCCTTATTACAATCACATACACTAATTGTCCTAGCTTTTCTGAAAAAATGTTCAATTGAAATCTTAATTTATTGATACCACACCAATATTTCATAAAAAAAAATATAGCATCATTTGATGTCTAATCAATATAATTTATTTTTTTAGCAATGATCAAACAGTTGGAAGAAATGAAGAAAGAAAGAAATGATAAGAAAAGCAGTATTAAGAACGGAGGCAGCCAAGAGACCTGGGAGTGTGCTGCATTACATGTTTGTCCAGATCTTGGGGAAAGGATAATGCTATCTGCTGATCGTTCCCTTCTTGATGAGGTGACTACTTTTTAGCTTTTTAGTTATCTACTGACTAAATTACTCCAACAAGTGGTGAAAAAAAAAATTAGTCAGTAAAAGGAATTAAAACAAATAAATATGTTATCGGTTTCGAAGGTGATCCAAAATAATTAATAGATAAGTAAATAATTTACAAAATCTTTGGTAATTTAGTTTAAAATTTTAATGAGTAACTTAGTTAACTGCAATCTGAAAAATTAATCAATCATTGACTTTATTTTCTTCATGTTACAAACATACCTCAAAGAATGCTACTGTCAGATATTTTTATTTTTAAAGATATGATAACTTTTTTTCAAATGGTTTAAATAAATATTTTTAAACAAGACATATTTTCTTTTAAAAAACAAGTAAAAGAGCTGAATAAATAGAGAACTAAAGTAAATACATTAAATAAAACAGTCCAACAAGTAACTGACATAAATTAAATAAACATTGTAATTAATGTAAACAATAATATTAGTATAGAAAATATTTAAAATTTAAACAAATTATTTTTTAAAAATATTTTGATAGTTTTAAGTCCAAATAAATTAGATAAGTCAGAAAAGTTTATTTTATCATTAAACTTTTTTTTAAAATCTTTATTTCAATATTTGGTGTCTCCTCATTTTTTAGGTATTTCCTGAAACTGGTGAAGGAGGTGTGGATGCTAGGGTTGGTGCAGCATGGACATGTCAAGGTGACAGCAGACAAGTCATCCGTTTCCCATTGAACGGTTACTGCAAACTAAATTCTGTCCAAGCAATGACTAGACTCCTCAATGCTGGTTTCAAAGTTGTAGGAAGTAATGGTGGCGGAGTTGAGGGACAACAGTTTTCAGAATATCTATTAGTGAGGAGAGCAACACTTTGACTGTTCAAAAATTATCTTTTGTGATCAAATCATACCAGAGATTACCTCAAACTGGTTTAATAAGTGAAAATTCCAAACTTTGTTGTTATTTCTATGTTTAAATCCAATTTAATGTAGACACTGTTAATTTTGTAATTAGCATTTCCTCTGCTTATGAAAATAATTGGCATGAGCATTTCTATGTGTATATTACATGTTTTTCTTTCAGATATACGCACTCTTTACTTGTAACTTAGATTCCTCATGAGAAAGACATGTACTTTCTGTAAATATTATTTGTTTCTAAGACTACTGCTAATGGCTATGCAGGATCTTTTACTTCAATTCTATCAACTTGTATTTTCTATAAAATATCTTAATAAAGTATAAAGATAATTATTCATTAAATGTTTATCTTATGTTCTTATCAATTTCAGTGGACATGTATATATAATTATTCTTATTAACACAGTTGTTTAAAAATTAGTCATTAAATAAAAAGAAATTTTATGAATCATTTTAATTAAGGTGTACATTTTTGTTTGTTATAATATTAATTCAATATTCTATTGTTGTTAATTGTTATTCTAAACTAAATTACTTTTAAAATTTATCGATTATACTTTTTATCTGTTGTTAATAAAAGCAAATTTATTCAATTTCTTTATTAACTTAACTACAACAATATAAATTTAAAATATTGCTATTGTTAATTTTACATATTAAAAGATACCAAATTCCAAAACAGTATTGTGACATTAATTAATTAAATATTTTAATTTATAACCCATGAAATACAGTTAATCTTTGACATAATGATTATTAATGTACTTTATGTCTCATTACATTACATAGCCTCAAATAGATACATTGTAGTAATTACTGTTAAAATGTAAAAACAAATTAATTTACTTTAGCTTTTTATAGATCAGTTTTCAAACTTCTCTTATTTATGCAATTAGTTTTCATAATTACTAATTGGTAAATACTTTTATTTTGTTTCATTGATAAAATCCTTTTATAAGGTTGTTATATTGTCTACAGTTAGCATATTAGCATAGTGGTAGTCATAAGCCATTTTGTGATCGCCCCTGTAAATTTCTAATGAGTATTATCTCATCTTCACTCACCCTTCTCCACCCTTTCCAATTAATTTCTTGAGTCATTACATTTTATTTAAGTTATGTTTTTTTTTTACATGTCTCATTTTCATTTTACTAATGGGATTAAATAAATTTATCTCACAAGGTTTGTAATATTTTATAATTTACAACAAGTAGGAGAGTTCCTAAGGCCAACACTATTAGAAAACAAAAAACTTCAGACATACACTTCAGCTATTTTAAATATGTTAAATGTAAATATTGGAATGTCCACAATCCTAAATTAAGTAATAAATTAACTTTATAGTTATTTCTTGTTGACTATATTAACAATTTTTTAACCAAAACCTGCATAGCGGTTTCTTTTTTTGGGTAGAAATGCATTGCTTTGTATGTTTTCATATACTTTTCTTCTGTGATTTGTTGTGTAAATATATGTATTTCCTGTATAAAGTTTGAACCATCAACTATTTATTACCTCCAAAAACTTGTAGAGATACGTTTTTAATATTTATTTTAGTAAATATTGACCTTTAAAGGAATATTTATAGAATTAGCAAGTAATATGACTCCCTTTAAATGTTTATTAATAGATTCTATCTAAAGATTTTTTTAATTTATTTTTTTATTGTTTCTCAAAGCTTTTATCAATATATAATGTTATGTTTAACCTTATCAAACAGATTATTAAATATTGCATTCATTGTTTGTGTATATATACTTTAAAGAATAATAAAAATATTAATATAATATTTTTTTTTATTTTTTGACATGCCCTGAGTACCTACTAGTTCTTAACACGGCTACTAGTTATAACTACCAGTAACTTTGTGTGACAATAACTGCAGTGAAAAAATAATAATAATCATGACATACTAATAATATTTCCATTTATTAAATATATATGAATTGATGATTTAACATTTATATTAGAACCTCTTTTGAAAATTTATATATACTTTATCCTGATTTCTTTTGTGCAGCACACTTAAATTTCAATATTTTGGAGATTGGATTTTTGTTGAAAGATACAGACATATTGAACTGTATGAAATATGTAGTATACAGATATATGGAATATACATAAAGATATATTAAACGATTTGACATTGGTTTCACATACATTTAAATTTATTTCTGTTTCAATATCTAGAAACTTTGGAAGAGCTTTAAAAGTTAGGCTTCTTCATGATTTAAAAACATCAGAAACATAGAGTCATGAACTGTGCGAAATTTGAATGTCATTAAATATAATGAAGAGAAGAATAGTTGGGGTGGTCAGTCAAAAAAGAAGGCAAAAATAAATGATAATATTTATTTTTACATATGCCGACGTTTCGACCTGAAGTTCAGGCCTTCATCAAGGCTAAGAAAATAACTAGATAACAAGGTGTAAGAAACATAAGTAGTGATGGTAAAAAAAAAAAAATGTACAATATCTCAATTTTCTATCTAACTACTCCATTCTCATTGTCTTAATTTTACTATTTATTTTCATTTCTTATATAACATCATATTTCTTTTTTATGTTTTACATTTTATTCTAAGATTCCCATTTTAACACTTATGTCACCCTTTTTGATTATGCCTACTTCATCATTCCACACTTTGTAACGGTTATTATTATTTATCTCTTAGTTCTTACTATTGTCATTATTCTAACAATTTCATTTTACTTAATATTTATTTTTTTTATAATTTTTTATTTATTTTTTTATGTTTTTTACCATCACTACTTATGTTTCTCATACCTTGTTATCTGGTTATTTTCTTAGCCCTGATGAAGGCCTGAACTTCAGGTCGAAACGTCGGCATATGTAAAAATAAATATTATCGTTTATTTCAGCCTTCTTTTTTGACTGACCACCCCAACTATTCTTCTCTTCATTATCCACGACAGTCAACCATTTACCAATTATGAGTCATTAAATATAGTATTGAAAGAGTAATAAAATCACTTGTTAGATAAATTCTTGCAGTTTTATGCTTTTAAAAATAAAATAAATGATAGGAAACTATTACTATTATTCAAAATACGCTTCATTATTCTCAATAGATTTCAGGTACCTTTTGATAACTTGTTCTTTTCCCTCTGAATTGACTGTTGAACCGAAACTATCAATAAATTCGGAAAAAAAATACATCTAATAACGAATTTCGATGAAGAAAATATTTAACATTTAAAAAACGCCTCAGATATCTAAATGGTAATCGGAGAGAGTTTTGGGGTGTAGGACAGGTAAGGGTTTGTTTGTATTTCGGCAGAGAAATTCAGCGCAAATTTCGTCACGAACAATTTTTTTCTGTTCGTTTAATTCATGAGAAACCGAAGTTTCGAACTTTTTTAACTTACCAGTAGCTCTGAGGTGGTCAGCAATGGTCGATTTCCTAACTTCTGCTTCTCTCATCTTTGCAACTTTTTTAACACTTGTACGGGGAAAGAAATTCTTCCATGAGCATCGTTGTTTTCAAGACTTAAATTCTAATCTCGATAGGGTATATCTAATTCTAATAGGGTATATCTAGATTTTCGGGCGATTTGCGAAATGGACCAAAATTACTTATAATTCTTTGAAACGTCGTAACAGCTACGTTTATTTATAAACATCGATTTTCAGCTCTTTTAGGATTCATTAGAACTGCCTAATTTTGCCCAGCTAACGGTATGTGGTTTGAACAAAAATACCGGCAAACCAGCTCTAAATTTAAAAAATATGGTTTTCATTCCTTATCAAATTATATCATTAATGCGACAATTAAGTTAAAAATTGCTGGACATGAAGAGAAAACGATATTAGTTTGTCAATAATGGCATCAAATTTTCAAATTTAAATTAAAGAATTAAATTAAATTAAGAAAAGACGGTTGAAATTTTTATATGATGTAAAGAATATGTTCCTAAAAGAAAATTCACCTTGAATGACGATTTACTCGATTGCATTTTGAAAACTGACAGCGTCAAAGTCATCAAATCAGTCCAGTCGAATGGTAGTTCGGATTTTTTGAAAAAAAAATCAAATATTCGGTTTCTCTTCGTTTTGTTTTGGAATGCTGTATCTAAATTTGATGACCCGAATGAAATTTTCCATTGCATTCCGAGATATATGCAAAAAACAGTGAAATTTCCGCACTTCTTTTTAGTTTTTTTGGAAACGACTCCGAAACTATGCATTTTATCGAAATTATTGATAAGTACAAAGCTAAAGATGATTAAATCTACTATCTATTTTATAAATAGTTTTTTGATGTAGGACAAACGGATGAGGAGTTAGAGCATGTTGACTGTTTATTTTACAAGAAATGTCTGTTTTCATCAGTTTTTCCCCACAACACATAATCTATACCTCTCTCGAAGAAATTCATTATAATAAATTTGAAAGAGCATTAAATTAACCTAATGTAGACCCCTTAATATGAGAGAAGGTTAAGCGGATGTTAAAGCTCACGGAATTGAAAGTGCATTTCACTCATAGTATCTACCATACTCAACCTAAGCTCTTTTTATCTTTTCAAACGCCATTGCCCTTGGAAGGGATAGGTACCCGTGTACTTCACTACTTTATAACTTTCGTTTTACCCGTTTATAACCATCGTATGCAAACCAGTTTGTCATCTACATAGGTTACGATATATTTTAGGTTTGATGTAGTTCAAAGATACAAGCGGGATAGGGCTTGGCAAATTGGTGCTTCCTTTAATAAGCAATCTCTGGGCGTAAAAGTAATCTCTCGGCTTGTTTGATGTCTGATTGAATTACCTGAAGCCAGGATGAAACTGTGCTAACTACCTTCTGCCACGTTTCGCACAAATTATCACCTCCGGCATCCTCCTATCTGTAAATCTATTTAGTCTACATTTAGTTATTTTTCAGTCAATCTATTGAAAATGCTACGAGAGAATCTGCTAGCTGTAATTATGATTCAGAATTTAGAAAAAACGAAAATTGGGTATCAGAAACAATTGTGTTTCTATCTAACATATACAGGATGTCTCGTGAGTAGAGGAATATCTTTTTTTTTTTTTTTTTTTTTTATTAACGAAATTTACAACTGTAATTAATAATAAATACAACAAGTAAATATGAACAAGTAATATGACATGTACAACATGAAGAGAAACTACCCATTGGTAGCACTCCAATTATATTTCTATATTAGAAGGTTCCGAGGCCATCTTCTTTTCAGACGCCTCGGAGGGTTATCAGGAATAGAAGAGGAAGCAAGGTTGGAAACGAGAGGGTTCGGATGGTTCAGAAGTTTATTATGAAAGGACAGGTATCTGGATTGAGCTAAATCGGAAACATGTGGTACATTAAGGTCATTATGGATTATTTTATTTGTGACAAAGTAGAGAGCATTAAGGATTTTTCGAAGGATT